ATAGCCAATGATTTGAAATATCCAAGAAAAGTAATTGATAAATCTTTTAAAGTTGCTAGAAATACTTTTTACAATCCAAAAAGGCACAACCAGCCTTATTCAACTAAAAATAGTTTTGGGTTTCCCTTACCATGAAAACTTGGTTGATATGCCTTCTCTTCTTAAGACTTTTAATATTAAAGTTACATTCAAATATCTTGATACAGTAAAAAAAAACTTTTGATAAAGAATTCCCCCCAAAATGCTGACGGATGTTTTATAAGTTTCCTTGAAAATTTGGGATAAAGTTTTATTACGGTAAAAACTGGTAAAAAACCGAACTAAGTTTTAAAAAAACATAAATAAGATTAAAAACGGGACGTTTCCCAATGCTCTATTTTTTCTTTTAAGAGTTTTTAAACCCCCAATGATTTTAAAAAGTTGAGAAAGTTGTTTAACTTTCCATGGTCGACGGGGAATATAATTGAATCTTGTTTTCATAAAAAGCAGTTTTGCAATAATATGAAATTTTTTTTTGGTTTTTAAAAAATTTAGCCATTTAATTTAATGAATTTGGAAGAATTTAATAAACTTGGACAAATAATAAATTTTTAAATTCTATTTCTTGGGTAGAATGTTGTTGGTGGGTTGTGTAAAGGACCTGCTTTTGGGCCGGGGGCCGCCGTGTTCCCTTTTTTATGAGTCGCGGTCAGTGTTTCTTTGTTGGGGTCGATGTGAGGGTGGGCACCCCTTTTATACCTTCCTTTGATGCTTCTTTCAGTTCCTTATAAGGAGATCACGAAAGCGCTGGAATTCTCTATTCTTTCACATGGTTTTTTTGCAAAAAAAAAAAAAAAAATTTTTTATAATATAAATTTTTTATATTTATATATAAAAATATTATTTATTTAATTTAAAATATATATTAATATAAAAATATTATATATAAAAATTTTATATATAATATATATATATTTGATCATCATTTCCTCCAACTTTGGTGACCCAAAGAAGAAAAACTTTTTCCATCACTTATTTAAAGCTGTTGGGAAGATGTATGCGTACATAACATTCAATACCCCAAAATGCAACACTCCATCCATCTACGAGGGAGGGCGCACTTGAAGTGGCGACCCGGACCACACTCCATCCAAACCGTGGGCGGTCAATTACAATTTTGTTATAAAACCCGAGCTAGGGGCCAGCCCTTCCCACCCTACATTCACTTGCTTTTTTGATTCCAATCTTAATATTTTCCCTCTCCTTGATTTTCATCTGCTGCTACTTAATTTTCTTCTTACTTCCCTTTATTCTTTTTCTGGTTTTTCCCTCATTTTAACACCTCGTGTTCTCTTTCTATCTTTCCTCCTCTTTCCCTCATGAAAAAATTTTTTCCTTTTTTATTACATTAACTATCTTTTAACGTTGTCTCGCCTTCTAATGTACTTTTTTTTTCTTATTAAACTTTCAAATTTTTCGTTCTCATCAGCGAGATCTATTTACTCTCTTACCTTCCTCAATTTGCCTCTTTGTTTACAAAATTTATTTTTTACTTGCTCTGATTCGTGTTTTTATTTAGTAATGTTCAGATATGTGAGTTGCTTCTCTAAACACTTACTTCTTCCATACGTCTAGCTTTAACATCTAAACACCTCACATCAACACTGTACGACACTGCTCGTAAAGTTAAATCGTAATTTTGCATCTTCTTTCAGAATAGATCTCAATTGAAGGTTTACTCTTTCCATTTCAACTTGGTGCTGCGAGATCTATTACTACATCTTCCACAATTGTCTCATTTTTTGCATTGCGATTTTTAACCCTCTAAAAGCAATTTCCTCCCAGTACAAAACTCCCCAAACATTCACTTGAAACCAGCCGGAATCTTTCTTCTCTGCTCTCCTCTCATCTTCACGTTAATGAATCTAAATATATTGGCCGTTTCTTACATTCCAAATGTATGTACAAATGTATTCACGTTAACGCTTTTGGGGCCTAGTTCCTAGGCCGATTGTGTATCCATCTATTCTTGCGCTGGCATCCACAGGATGGATATCAGGTGCACGATAATGAAGCCGCTTTGGCGACGAAATCTATAACAAAATCTTCCATCTCGGTTTTATTTATGATTCCTAATTCTTGAACGTAGGCATGACTGAGCATAATATTTCCAAGGGAGAATTTTATCTTGAACTTTCGTCTCATCTTGTTAAGTTTGACACTCAGGAAAACTTGTTGGTGTTCCTCCCATGTTAGTTCACAGTCCTTCTCTAAACTTCTTGTAACTTTATCGTAGTTAGTGCTAAGATACGTTCACACTCCATCCACAACACATCCACACTCTATCCACAACACATCCACACTCCATCCACAACACATCCACACTCCATCCACAACACATCCACACTCCATCCACAACACATCCACACTCCATCCACAACATATCCACACTCTATCCAAAACACATCCACACTCTATCCACAACACATCCACACTCCATCCACAACACATGTATACTCCATCCACAACACATCCACACTCCATCCACAACATATCCACACTCCATCCACAACACATCCACACTCCATCCACAACACATCCACACTCCATCCACAACATATCCACACTCCATCCACAACACATCCACACTCCATCCACAACACATTCACACTCCATCCACAACACGTGCACACTCCATCCACAACACATCCACACTACATCCACATTACATCTACACTATATCCACATTACATCCACACTATATCCACACCACATCCACACTATATCCACACCACATCCACACTATATCCACACCACATCCACACTATATCCACACCACATCCACACTATATCCACACCACATCCACACTATATCCACACCACATCCACACTATATCCACACCACATCCACACTATATCCACACCACATCTACGCACCTTCAAACTTTCTGATTTATAAATCTTATTATATATGTCAGATTTTTATATCTGGACTCATAAGTCTTGTAAAATTAAAGAGGAAACAGAAGTACTCAAGGAATAATAGTAATTAAGAATCGGTGATAAATATAATCCTAATTATCTTTTCCATTCTTTCGACCTCTTCCAATCCTATTGTAAACTAACTTCAACCCCAACTTGTTCCCCTGCTGTAACTTCCCACCAAGTATAACCCCCCAACATATTCCAAGTTCAATCCTCCTCCATCCCAAGCCTCACACCCCATTCAATCCCAAAACTCCCACTTATACAAAGCTTCCACCCACTCATACAGCCTCCACTTGCTACTGTCATCAACCATCTGCCACACCAAATTCCCACTGACTCACAACGCTCACATCAACCACCATCCACTCTAGCTCTCTGTCCTTAACAATGCTCAATAATAACCTAGAAGAATAATTGATCTGTATATTTCGACCTCTTTCTGAGACCCTCTTTAGCAGATGAAGAGGATCCCAGAAGGGAATCGAAATATACAAACCAATTAATGTGAGTTTCAGTCTCCATGAGAGTTATTATTGAGCACTGACAAGTGTTCCTTACGTTTAATTATCCATTAATACAAGAGGAAATAGACACGCTTCAACTCCTTCAACTGTTTATTTAAACACTGACCTGGGACCAGGTACTGTTAGGTAGCATGTCTGTCTCGCGATTAGAGGACGGAGGGTCGAGCCTCCACCAGTCCTTGCATCAACCTATCACATAAAATATTAAATGTAACTCAGAGCTGAGCCTCGTCGACCACTGGGGGGAAAAAAAACTTATACAACCACTGGAATAAACACTCATACACTGGGCTAAACATTCAACCACTGGAAAAAATAATCATTCAACCACTAGAATAAACATTCACACAACCACCGGGGAAAAAATAATCATACAAGCATTGGGATAAACACTAATAAAAGTTACGGTAACTTAATGTTTATTTGTGTATCCTGGGAAAGAGGAGCGTCATTAACCAGTATCCTCTTCATCGACCTTTACCGTAACCTGAAAAAAAAACACACAAATTAACGAGCAAATTAACCAATAAGAATAAAACCTAACTTGTTAATTTTTGATGGTCAGAAAATTTAGCAAATAACTTTCGAAAAAGATAAATAATGAATTTTAGAGTTACTAAAAGAGTTTAATGGTGAATATAACTCTCCGTGACTAAAACAAGATACAATAGACTACACTTCAGAGGGGAAACGTTGCGAGACGTTTCGAACATTACCATTTTGCCAGTTGTACTCTCAACTTAGTAAAAATCTAATAATAATTGGGTTAACACTTAATAAAATGTTAATTTTTTACCATGTATTGAAAGACTGGATAAAATGTTCTATGGATAAATAGGAAAATTTCAGCCTACTATAGGCCCATAGACCTACTGAAGTGCTTCTGTTTTCCTAAGCTCTTATCAGCCAAGAGGCCTGGTCTGGGACCGGGCCGCGGGGGCGATGACCTCCGAAATCAATAACACTTTGCTAGGCATGTAAGGTAGGTAGGTTAATAGGTAGTTACGTAGGTGGGTTAATAGGTAGGAAGGAAGGTAGGTAGAAAGTTAGGTAGGTAGGTGGGTAGGTAGGTTGATATGTAGGTAGGTAGATAGGTAGGTAGGCAGATAGGTAGGTAGATAGGTAGGTAGGCAGATAGGTAGGTAGATAGGTAGGTAGGCAGATAGGTAGGTAGGTAGGTACGTGGGTAAAAAATAACTACATTATCATAAAAATGATCAACTTACCGATGCCGTTACCACGGCTGCCGACAATACTTCCTCCGTAAGCCCCGAAGCCTCCACCTCCGTAGCCGCCGCCGTAGCCGCCGCCGTAATTACCGCCGCCGTAGCCTCCGAAACCGCCGTAGGCACCGCCGTAGCCTTGTCCTCCATAGTTACCCGAATACCCACCCTCGCCGCCGTGGTTGCCGTCGTAGCCGTACCCGACTCTGGCGCCGACAAACCCACCGCCGACGCCGTTCCCGTAGGAGTCGAGGCCTCCCGGCGTGGCTAGGACTGCCGCTACGACCGCCAAGATCCCAGCTACCAGCATCACCTAGAATCACAAGTGAGAGAAGGTAATGTAGGAGTGAGGGGAAGTGGTCTAGGGTGAGGGGGAAAGTGGTCTAGGGTGAGAGGAAAGTGGTCTAAAGTGAGGAGAAAGTGATCTAGGGTGAGGGGAAAGTGGTCTAGGGTGAGGGGAAAGTGGTCTAGAGTGAGGAGAAACTGGTTTAGGGTGAAGGGAAGTGGTCTAAGGTAGGGGAAAGTACTCTAAGGTGAGGGGAAAGTGGTCTACGGTGAGAAGAAAGTGGTCTAAGATGAGGGGAAAGTGATTTAGAGTGGAGGAGAAAGGTATTTAGGATGAAAGTTATTTAGGGTTAGGAGGAAAGTGGTCTAGGGCGACAGGGAAGTGATCTACAGCGAGAGAAAGTGATTTAGGGTGAGGGAAAGTTATATAGGTTGAGGGAAAGTGATCGAAAGTGACGTACTGTCTCCTAGGGTTGGATGTTTAAGCCACAAGTTCATATATCGAGAGAAAGCTCAGTACCACCAAATATGACTCAGAGGTTCAAGAAACTTTTCATTTGTTAAGGAAAATAAACATACTTACAATCTTCACCATAATGAAGGGTGGTGGTAGTTGTTGTTAGTGGTAGTTGTTGTTAGTGGTAGTTGTTGTTAGTGGTAGTGGTGGTTGTTGTTAGTGGTAGTTGTTGTTAGTGGTAATGGTGGTTGTTGTTAGTGGTAGTGGTGGTTGTTGTTAGTGGTAGTGGTGGTTGTTGTTAGTGGTTGTGGTAGTTTGTTGTTAGTGGTAGTGGCAGTTGTTGTTGGTGGTAGTGGTAGTTGTTGTTAGGGGTTTAGTGGTGGTTGTTGTTAGTGGTAGTGGCAGTTGTTGTTAGTGGTAGTGGTGGTTGTTGTTAGTGGAAGTGTAGTTGTTGTTAGTGGTAGTGGCAGGTGTTGTTAGTGGTAGTGGTGGTTGTTGTTAGTGGTAGTGGTGTTGTTGTTAGCGGTAGTGGTGGTTGTTGTAGTGGTAGTGGTGGTTGTTGTTCGTGGTAGTGGTTGTTCCCTCACTAACATTTTTTGTCACTTTTTGTTGGCGATCGGTGCATGTTCTTGTTATTTCAGACAGTCACGCTCTTCAAGCGTGATTTAGGGGAGAGGAGGAGGAGGGAGAGGGAGGGAGAAGTAAGAAAGAGAAGGGTTCACACACACACACATCACACAGTACGACATCACACACTGGCATCACACACACACACACACACCACACACACAACACACACACATCACAACACACACACTCTCACTCACACGAGAAGACCTGCTATTCCATCAAACTTTAATAACAACCTTCACATACATAAATGAAGAATCATCCCCAAAACCCTTCACAATTACATTAGTTGACACACTGGAATATACAGCGTGAGAAAGGAAGACAAGATAGAGAGAGCTCAACAGGAGAAAATATGAGTTATGAAAAAAGGGGAAAATTTGCATCATGCAGGCAGAAGGTCAGAAGGCCAACACCACCTAACCTAAACAAGGATATGCAGGCACTAATAAAGAATTTCTCGCGCCATCAACGGTTTAAATTCAAGTTGTATTGTGGAAAATGTGGTGACGATTGGGTTCCAAGTTGCCCAGACACTCCGTACCACCAGCATGAAATCATGAACACCTGACATGAACGCACAAAATATCTGGAACACCTGAACAACAACATCAAAACATCTTGAACACGAAACAATGGAAACCATACAATATCTGGAACAGTGAACAAGAACATCAACAAACTGGAAACACTAACAAGTATGAAATCACAAAACATCTGGACACCTAACAAGAACATCAACAAATTGGAACCCTGAAAATGAAGCCACAAATATCTGGAACTACCTGAACAATGATACTCTACAACAACATCTGAACACCTGAACAATGAACCCACACAATCATCTGGAACACCTGAACAATGAACATAAACAAATTGAACACCTAACACATACATAAAACACCTGAACAATGAAACCACAAATATCGGAAACACCTGAACAATGAACATCACAACAACATCTGGAACACCTGAACAATGAACACCACAACAATATCTGGAACACCTGAACAATGAACATCACAACAACATCTAGAACACCTGAACAATGAACACAAAACATATCTGGAACACCTAAACAATGAACATCACAACAACATCTAGAACACCTAACAATGAAACACATAACAATATTGGAACACCTAGAACAATGAACACAAAAATCTAGAACACTGAACAATGAAACACACAACAAATCTAACACCTGAACAATGAACATCAAACAACACTAGAACACCTGAAAATGAAACAAACACGCGGACCAGCTGTCACAGGAACAGAGTAACACATTTAAAAACCTCCATCTGAGAGTTCATTAAAAAAAACTTACAAACCTACGGAAACATACACTAAAATATTCTATTCAAAACCGCTTATGTAATGTTTAATTATATAAACTTTAAACTTTGGGGGGACGATATTTTTCTCAAAAACTTATTCGATAAATTATAAAATAATTTATTTCAGAGGAATTCTGTTAAAAGATGGAAAATAAAGCAGGTAGAGAGAGAGAGAGAGAGAGAGAGAGAAGAGAGAGAGAGAGAGAGAGAGAGAGAGAGAGGAGAGAGAGAGGAGAGAGAGAGAGAGAGAGAGAGAGAGAGAAGAGAACAGATAAAGCAGAGAGAAGAGAGAAGAGAGGAAGAGAACAGAATAAGCAGGTAGAGAGAGAGAGAGAAGGAGAAACAGATAAAGCAGGTAGAGGAGAGAGAGAGAGGAAAAGATAAAGCAGGTAGATGAGAAAGAGAGAGGGACAGATAAGGGGTGGGAGGGGAGAGAGAGGAAAGATAGAAGAGGTAGAGAGAGAGAAGAGAGAAGGAGAAACAGATAAAGCAGGTAGAGGAGGAAGGAGAGAGAGAGAAGGGAAACAGATAAAGCAGGTAGAGAGAGAGATAAAATGGAAACAGATAAAGCGGTAGATGAGAGAAAGAAGGGAAACAGATAAAGCAGGTAGAGAGAGAGATAAAATGGAAACAGATAAAGCAGGTAGAGAGAGAGATAAAATGGGAAACAGATAAAGCAGGTAGAGAGAGAGAGAGAGAAGGGAAACAGATAAAGCAGGTAGAGAGAGAGATAAAAGGGAAACAGATAAAGCAGGTAGAGAGAGAGAAGAGAAGGGAAAAGATAAAGCATGTAGGAGAGAGATAAAGGGAAACACATAAAGCAGGTTAAGAGAGAGAGAGGAGAGAGAGAGAGAGAGAGAGAGAGAGAGGAGAGAGAGAGAGAGAGAGAGAGAAAGGGAACCAGAGTGGGGGGAACACCTTGTTCAATGATCTAACCATGATCTTTTATCTTTTAACAATGACGTGGTTGTAATGAAACAGGGGAACCCCAACACACACACACAACACACACACACAACACCACACACCACCACCACAACACACACACACACACACCACACACACACTGTAAAATAACTATTCTCTAATGTTAATTTTAAAAGGAAGTCAGTCTTGCTGACTTGTCGTCTCAATAATTATCAGATTACAAAATAGACAGTAAATAGCCAGTAGAGGAAACTGTTATTACAAAACCCAATTTGTAAAGCCGAGGTTTTAGTGATTAGGTTTGACAGGTTATTAGGGAAGTGACTCTAATAGGGGATTGGTTAATAGGGAAGTGACTCTGATAGGGGATTGGTTAATAGGGAAGTGACTCTGATAGGGGATTGGTTAATAGGGAATTTGACTCTGATAGGGATTGGTTAATAGGAGTGACTCGATAGGGTTTGTAATAGGGAAGTGACTGTGTTAGGAGATAGAGTAATGTTAAGTGACTGTGTTGGGGGGGGGAAAGGTTTAATGGGGATTGGACTGTGTGTTTAGAGTTAGTGCTTAATAGGGAAGCAACTGTGTGGGTTATCGATGTGGTTGACGTAATAACACATGTACAGTAATTACCTCATCTTATTCATCATGTGCTCGCCTGACTCAGGTTTAAGAGTCAAAACATCAGCTCTTCCCTAGTCACTCAGCACTCAACACTGTACCAAATTCATAACCTCTTGGCCCGTTATTCCTTTCTAAAACTGCGAGCCTTCCTCGCTCAGGACGTTCACTTTCAACACCACCCCTTCCTGGGCTGCGTCTGTAGAGTTCTCCGAGCATTTTATATAGTGAACTGTCTCCGTGTTCTGTGTTTCTATATATTAACGTTAGGCTCTTTTTCCCCTGTTTTCGTGGATTATTTTTTTCAGACCCCTGATATCGCGTGACCTTATTGTATTTTCTGATATACTTTCAGTTTGGATTCAGTGGATGAAGGGACTATTGAGTTAAATTGAGACAAGAATAGTGCGGAACTTGCTTCCCCTGGGGGGCCCAACAACATTCCCGTTCTATGTGGAGATTTAGAGTTATGACTTGAAAACTTGCACAGAGTTAAAGTAGCCCCCCAATAAAGCTTGATCTATAAGCATATTTTGTCGTGTGGGCTCCATGGTGGTGCTGCAGTTAGGCCCGTTATCCGCGAGAACTGCACGAGCTCGGGTTGTTGGCTTTCTGGTGCAAGGAATGTCACCATGAAGCCCACTGCTGCCTCACCAGCAGTAATACTGAACAGGCAGCGGATAAAATGAGGAAAGAAGAGGCGAAAATGAAGAGAAAGGGGTGGAGGAACAGGGAAAGAAGGGAAACAAGAGGATGTGGAGGAAGAGGAGGTGAAGGGAAAAGGGAAGGGGGAGATAACGAGAGGGAAGGAGGGAGGTGGGAGAGTGGATGCAGCCGCCTCGTAAAGTATAAAAGGCAGGAGTCGACAATGCAGGAGTCAGTTGCTTGGTGATTTCTGTGGGCAGAGTTGCTTGACCCAGCCTTCTGCCACACCATGATGAGCAGAGTTGTAAGTTCTGAAGTCTGACCACACCATGATGAGCAGAGTTGTAAGTTCTGACAGTCTGACCACACCATGATGAGCAGAGTTGTAAGTTCTGGCAGTCTGACCAC